TCGGCCTTCAAACTCTTGTAGTCATCCATAATTGCATCAGTAGTCTTGATGAGGTCATCGTACTGGTTACTCATATACTGCACCGAATCTTTAAGTTCTACCAGTTGTTCTTTAACAGGTGCGAGTTCCGCGCGAATGGCAGCTCGAACTTCCTCCCTTATAGTGGATATCATGTCAACTTTATCTAGTGAAGTGTTACCCTGGTTGACCAATCTCGATGCAGAACGCTGTGTAACATTACTGACAGGTGGAGAATCTTCGAGAATCTGACTATGAGTCTCCTTATCTACGCGTATCGGTGTATTCAAATTATCCCCCTTCGGGCGCCCACTGATGCATTTAGGGCATGTCCACTCCTTCCGGTTATTACCGGAGGCGCCATAAAAGCTGTAAAAACGCTTCTCAGTGACGTTTGCACAGACCAAGTCGTACATACCGTTGCAAGCACACCCCTCAAGGGTTTTAGTGTCTTAACTACATGTTACTTAAGTTGTAAATTAAATGAAGAATAAATAAATAATAAACTTAAACTTAAAACTTAAGTTTATTTTTACTTTTAATTACATTGAGACAGCCAGCACAAGTAACAATTTTAGCAGCCATATTAAATTCTAGAATATTATTACGGCTTACTATAGATTCTGGAGTTAAAACACTATATCATGAAATAACTTTCAAAACTTAATAACTTTTAAAAAGTCAGTTTTTAGTCACAATCAGTATTCCTGTATTACTTCGTAGCCAATGATGTAGCAATTAATCGTAGTCATTTAGTGTGTAGCACAGTTGACGTCACAAACACGTAGCACAGTTAACTTCACAAGCGCGTAGTAATGGTAGGCAAACTTCGCTGCGTGACGCACTATAACTGGTGGCGCAACCGCACAGCGACCGGCCGCGGATACTCGGAGGCAGAGTTCGAATCCCAGCCAGACAAGGCGAAATTCAACCAAATTTGCAACGACACACAGCAAATGACGCCGACGACCATATGACACCGATGACGCTGCCGAAGCGATCAGCACCACCTTAGCAGGCAAGAAAGTGAGGTCCGACAAAATCCAACATGGCCGCTGGGTCTTACGGAATATGAGCCAAGATGAAAGAGGAGGCACCGATGATGGATGAGTGACGCCGACCAACTCAACAGATGAGAAAGTGAGGTCCGACAAGTTCTCCAAAATGGCCGACGGGTCTTACGGAATCCGCCCCAAGATAGAACAGGAGGCACCGACTCTCACACAACTCGAAAACAAAATTAAACCGATATAGTCCGAGAATCACACAGCACAATAAAATAAAACACAAAACAGAAACACACGTCCGCTCTCTATGAAGTTCCGAAATGGAAATAATTATTTTATATATCACTCGTCAACTTCACTCGTGTAGATGGTGTAGGGCGTTTGAACGAAAAAAAATATATGAAAAATATTCCATATTTATGGTCATAATCATAATTTGGCACTATTTCATCTTATGAAAAAATATTAAAAAGTAATTCGTCTGACAAACAACATATAAATTCCTCATTTCAAAAGACACTTGAAATAATTTCGTCCTAACTTAAATCATTATTTGCTAGACAGCTTCTAAAATTTTAATAAAATCTCTTGAAGAATTTCAAGTTTCTAAATTGTATTAGGAAACTGCTCCTTTTATTGCTCGAGTTAGAATTTCGAACATAATGTTTTAAGTGGAATTCTGTTTGTTTGTTATTACACATGAGACGACCTGTCAAATACGTTAGCTTTAGATTAAACTGGCGTTAAAGACTAATCGAATTCTTTGCAGGAGAATCAAAATAGTCATCATTTTCAGGAAAACTTAACTGTGTTGTTTTTTGACCTGTATTTCTTTAAGTTTACGCGAAAATGTCTCAGGATGACGGGCGCAGTGGCAGTGATCCTCAGAACTTTGTAATTTAAAGCATTGAGTTGCACTGAAACTGTTATGGACAGGCGCGTCGCTTACCACCAGCACGACTTATTGGTCCCATTATTTGGTATTATAAAAAAATATTTAGTAATGATTGACGCCATTTCACAGAAAAACTAAAATCTTGTGTATCATTTATTTTCAACAGTCAACATGACTGTTTACGTGACCTGAACAGATAACCTGACCAGACATAAATTACCACGTGACGAATATAGACTACTCAGCAGTTTACTAACCGAATAGCAATGTGCAAGACCCGCCTGCTGAGTAGACGTTTCCTTTGTTTTACATTTAAAAATTATATTGTAGATATACACGCACACATGTAAATAGAATTTGTATAAATAGTCCAGTTTTTAGAAATAAAGATCTCTTTGAATCCAGACATCAACGCTGTCTCATTGACGACTACGGAACTCTCAGCATCCTCTCACTGCGACCAACACACCTTTAGCCGTCAGCTTATCTAAGCTATCGGCTGTCTGTAATATGTCTTGGTGACTGATCAGATTAATCAGTCTTGTGAGTCTGTGAGACTGGCAGTGAGAAAATCCACTGCTTGCACCCGTTATCCTTCTCACCTTCCGTCTGTTACCTTAGGTCGCATGATAACAGGCTTCCTTTATCTATCTATATACGTATATATAGTAGTGTATGGTTAGGGCTAGGCTGTTAGGTAGGAACGTAGGGTTGTTTGTGATAGGTTACAGCTTTCCCTTACCATTTCATGTATAACAAGACGGTACTCAACAGTAACACTCATATTACACCCAACAAATACTACATAAAGACAGAAATAAAGTTAGTTGGCTCTATAATGACAACCATATCTTTATAATAATTACAATAAAATTTCAATACAAATGCACCCTCACTTCTAATCAAATTTTTTATAGAAAATTCTGAACGAACCAACACTTTAATCTAGTGAGTTCTCTAATATATTTCCTCTTACAGAAAAATAAAACTATACTACTCGAGTTATTTTTCAATATTAATCGATAAATAATCAAACTTAATTATCACTAAATAAGACACTGTAAGTACACGTACTCAATAATCTCATACAAATATGTACGTTCTTGAGAATACGAATTTTGCTAGTAACAACAAAACAATATAGAGGTGTCAAGTGCATTCTTTTAGTAAAATATAAATTTTAAGAACACATTTCACACACTACATTCCTTTAGTTCCATTTTATTCCATTACATACACTCCTAGTATCGAACAGACAAGTACCATGGCGAGTCGTATTTACTTATTATTTATGAAAAGTGATATTATACCATGTAAAAGATATCTACATTGAAAATTAATGAAATTATTGTTATGTAATATGAGCTTTGAATATTTTTTTTTATAAAATGGAATGTTATATCAAACAAGAATTATATGACGGTAAATTCCTGCGGCAGAATGGCTTCAAAACAAATGGTTGCTCAAAATATTGTACACTTCTATATATCAGTCCATTATAGCGTACTGTATAACCGCATGGGATGGGGCTTCGGAAGCATGTATGCTCCCTCTGGAGAGGGCACAATGAGCGGCCCTGAAAATCATCCTAAAGGAACGCATCAGGGACCCAACTATACTTGTTTACAAGTGCAATGATGTTCTCAGTGTTCGTGGGATTTTTATTTTGCGCGTTGTATCAAAGTTGCACTTTCCTAAATATATCGCAATGCTACAAAAATGTAAATTCAGAATCCCTGTACTCTTAGCGAAATTGGCTTTCGACCAGAAATTTAGCTCATTTCTCCATCCTTTTATTTACAACAAAATAAGTATCGAATTTCGTTTGAAAAATTACTCAATCAGAGAACTAAACTCAAAAGTGAAAAATTGGCTCAAATGTCTCTACTATGAGGATGTTGAACAAATTCTGAAAGTAGACAAATAGACAGACAAACACACACTCACACACACGCGCACGCTCATTCGCTCGCTCACAAGCACGCACAAGTAATTTAATTGCTTTGTTTTATTTAATTTTCTATTGTTTAATAAGTAATTTTAATTAGATTTTAGGAATTTTCTCGTCTCTATTAACTTTTCGCATATAATATATATTGCACATCCTTCCTAGAAATGGT